TCATTTGTGCTTGTGGTGTGTGTCTAAGGAGGCCAAGGTAATGAAGATTCACACCTATGTTTTCTTCTAAGAGTTTTATAGCTTTAACCTTTAACCTTATAGGTTGTTGAAGTCTTACTTGGTACTGCAGAATGTGACTGTATTCAAAACTAGGGTCTTTAAAGAGATGATTAAAATGAGGCCATAGGGTGGGCCCTGCTTCATGATGACTGGTATCCTTAGGACAGACACTCACAGTACAGAGTGAAGACCATGTGAAGACACAGGGAGGAGATGGTATCAATGAGCTGAGGAAAGAGGCCTCAGAAGAAACCAACCCTTGTGGTACTGATACTGGACTTTAAGCCCCCAGAACTGTGAGGAAATAAATTTCTATTCCTTAGGCCCATCTGTGGTACTTTGTCATGGTAGTTCTCGCAGATTAACACAAAATCCTACTTGGTTGTGATATATTATTTTCTTTTTGCTAATTATTTTCAATTTTTAAAGTTTATTTTGAGAGAGAGAGAGCATGAATAGGGGAGGGGTGGAGAGAAAGGGAGAGAGAGAATCCCAAGCAGGCTTGGCATTGTCTGTGGAGTGTGGAGCCTCATCCTGGGCTCAAACCCACAAACTGTGTGGTCTGAAATCAAGAGTTGGACTCTTAACTGACCAAGACACCTGGTGCCCCTTATTTTCTTAAATCATTGGGTATTGTGCTGTTTTGAGAGAAATAACTTTCTCTTCTTTCCTCTTCTTCTTCTTTTTTTTTCTTTAAAGTAGGCTTCATGCTCAACGCTGAGCCCAGCGCCAAGCCCAACGTGGGGCTTGAACTCACAACACTGAGATCAAGACCTGAGCTGAGATCAAGAGCTGGATGCTTAATCGACTGAGCCACCCAGGCGCCCCAAGAGAAATAACTTTCTCTATTTCTTTTCTTCTGGTACAGGAGTGGCAAACTGCAACCCATGGGTCAAATCAAGCTGGCTCGCCCATTTTGTAAATCCAATTTATTTGGGGGCATCACCACACTCACTTATTTGCACATATCTATGGAGGCTCTGCTACAATGGCAGAGCTGAATATTATACCTGCAGACCCCAAATATTCACTAATCTGGTACTTTAGAAAAAATTTTCTGACCCTGCTTTGGTAATTACTTAGGATGGGCTTATGTGCATATTATTCCTTGAATTCTTGCATTTTAAAAACAGTTATTTTTCCTATAGAGTTCAGTGCCTAAAAAACAGCGTGGATGAGTGGATACAAAATCCTTGGCTTGCGTCTTCTTTCCTTAAGTTTTTAGAAAATACTGAAAATGCTGCATCACCATTGCCTCCTTTGCCTTTGAGAATGCCAAATATTTTGGTTGCCAGATTCTATAACAAAATATCTACCCTGGAACCTAATGGCTTAAAGTGAGAATTATTTTGATTATAATCTCACAGTCGGGGGGGGGGTCAGGAATTTGGGTGGGGGTTGGCGGGACAATTCTTCTGTTCCACATGGCTTCAACTGGGGCACTCCGTGGTATTCAGCTGATGGCTGAATTGATATAGAGCATTCATGATGACTTCACTCATTATCAGCTAAGATCAGCCAGCCTCTTTCTGCCTCCATGCTGTCTCAGAATCTCTCCATAGGGAGTTAGATATTAGATATTGTGGCTCAGGGCTTCAAGAGCAAGTGCTTTCAAAGATCCATGTGGATTCTTTAAGACTTCTGGTAACCTAGGCTTGGAAGTCTCATATATATTGCACATTCTATTGGTCAAACAATTCACTTGGGCCAGCCTGGATCAAAAGAAGTGACAAAGAAGTTGCAGACATCTCTAATGTATTGCATCCTAATTTCCTTACCCTTTTAAGTAATAAGTAATTTGAACTTTTTGCATGGAGTCTTTGAAAGTTATTATTATTAAAGATTATTTGAAGAATGTCTACACCCAGCATGGGGCTTGACCTCAAGATCCCGAGATCAAGAGTCACATGTTCCTCTGACTGAGCCAGCTAGGTACCTTGAAAATTATTATTTTTGTCTAATAGTTTTAATAGTCTAGCTTTCAGAATTGGTCATTCTGTGCCGATTTCCCCAAGTACATGGCAGCCCTTTCATTACATAGGTTTACATTTTCTGATTTCCAGAAGGTTTCATTCTAGGTGGAACTTTAGCTAGACACTGGACGTTCCTTGCTTGTACTCAAATGACATTCCAAATGGAGAGAGAAATAAGCACAGAGGTATGGAGGCAAAGGAAAGTAGGACCATTCCAGGAGTTTGAATGGGGTGTGTGTAGGAAGCAACAAAAGTGACAAAAGACAAGGGCCAGAGAAATGGAAGGTCCTGTGTGCCATGCTGAGCAGTGACATATATAGGAAGCACGTTTCTGAAAGTTTTTTCTGACACGCAGTATAGAATATGGGAAGGAAGGAACAAGACTACAAGAGAGGGACAAGATCAAAGGCTATTGCATTAGTCTAAGTGAGAGGCTTAGCTACGAGGGACAGAGTCTAGAGTTAATTATGAGGAGAATCAACAGATTGTTGCGTGTGGTGGGGACAGGGAAGAAGAGATCAAGGAGGACTCCAGGGTTTCTGAACTGGGCAGCTGAGTGATGGTAATGCCGACCAGCTTTAGACATGCAGAACTTGGGGTGTGTAGGACATGTAGGTGGAAAAGTCCAGTAGGCTTCTGCATCTATGGAACTCAGATGAGTGGTGGGAGTCAGATAATGCACTGGGGGGTTGCTGGTACCTGTGGCAAATGAAGAGTGGGTGGAATGGCTTAAGGAGAATGTGTGGGGTGAACTGAAAGCTGAGAACAGAACCCTGGAGACTAGGGAGTGGTCAGAGGGGTTAGGAGGGTAGTCATGTCCTGAAGGCCAAGGGGGTTTCAAAAAGACTGGGGTGCTCTGTGTTGTCAAATGCCACCAGGAGCTAATACAAGGACTCAAAAATGGCCTGTGGCGTTTAGGATTAAGCAAGGCCTTAATGACTGAGAGCAGCACAGTGATGTGGTGGGGACAGAAGTCACATAGCCACGTGTTGAGAAGGGGGAGGCTGCTGCATTGGCAGAGAGGAGTGCGAACTACTTTCAAGACGTTCGTGAGGGGAATACAGAAAGGGAGCAAGTGGTAACTAGAACACAGTCCAGAGTGACAGAGGGGTTTCTTTTTCTTGAGGACAGGAAAAGCTTGAACATGACAGATGGTGAAGGAAAAAGGTAAGAGTCGATAATTTGGGGACTGAGAGGGGGAGTGCGATTGAAATGTTTGAAAGGAGTTTTCTGAAGATGTGGGAGGTGATGAGGTACAGAACCGTGATGGAGAGATGCTAATACAAGTATATTTAAAGTAGTTAATTCCCAGAATGCTTTATTATAGTCTCGCTCACATACTGATATTACCTAGGACTCAATCAATACGGCAAATATAGCAGACAGTATTGACATATTTATTTTACATCATTTACATATCTTTTCTCCAAAGGGTAGGATCAATATTTTACCCTTTCAAAGCCTCCCACATAGTTGGTGCTCAGTAAGTGGTAAATGAATAAACAAGACGCCTTTTGCCTGTATTCTGAGTATCTTAGCATATTCAGAACACAGTCAAGATCCTGAATACAAGTGAAAAGGTCTTCTAAGCATGAAAAATAGTCCTAAAATCCGTGTGTGAAAGGTGATGCCCCCATTTTTTTTTGAGGAACCTGTTTACCCTTACTTAAGAAAGTTGGTTACCAGCATTTCCTTCACCATAGGAGTTTAAAAATAGGAAAATGTGAGGAGGAGGAAGAGGATGTTCTAAAGGCAGGCAGGCAGACAGCAGCAGGAGGTGGCACGCACGATCTGCCTTACCATAAGGTGCCAAAACCAGTGAAAAACCAGACGCAAAGCATATTGGCTTGGGGGCTTTTGGCTTAGGGACTTACATCGTGGGCTCACATATCAGTAGCCCTTGAAGGACACTGCTGTTTTGAGCCTTAAGTAATGGTGAGAAAAATGATCCTCTGAACCATCAAAAAAAAAAAAAAAAAAAAAAAAAAAAAAAAAAAAAAAAAAAAAAAAAANAAAGAAAGAAAAAAGAAAAAAGAAAAAGAAAAGTTTAGCTGTTCCTAATTTCGAATCGTCTCCTATGTCTCACATAGTTTGGAAAGTGTTCTATCAAAAATGGATAATATTAAAACATAAATGCTGTTGCTGAGATGGTAAACTTGGGTCGCCCTCTGTTCTTTGGCCCAAGCTGTTTACCTAGCCTTGGGTGCACTCCTTTTTTTCCCCAAGGACGTCTCTCTTTTCCTTCCTTCCAGACTGAACACAAACGCCACTTCTCCCAGGAGCCCCTCCACGCGGTTCCAGCGGAAGTAATCTCTTCCTCCTCTGCCCTCGCACAGCATCTCCCTGTGGCTTTGCTTTGCATGGGTCAGCAGACCTGGTTGTTTACACGGCTGCTTTTGCACTAAATTATGCGCACCTCGAGACCAGGGGCCGTGACCGTGACGGTGCACCTACACAGCACCTGGTGCAGCGCTAGGCACGGAGTCGGTAGTCAACCCTTGTTGAGTTGAATTAATTTGGAAAAATCACTCAGGGCAAGATCTCTTGCTCGAGGCGCGGATGAATGATTCATGGGGTGGTTCTTTGCATTCTTTACCTTACAGTCACGACGTGCCGAGTACCCAGCTGCCCGGCACATACCTGTGGAATTGAAACGCACCTCCGCCGCCCGCCGCCAGTGTGCGCGACCAGCCCGAAGGGGGCAGGTTTCCCTCGCAGGTCTGCGAGCCGCCTGGCGAGGTGGGGGGCCGGGTCCCGCTCGGCCGCAGGGGGCGGGGCTCGAAGGGAACTCGGCGCGCTCGCCCGCCCCCTCCTCGGTGCGGCGGAAGCCCCGCCCCCGGCCGCGCGCTCGCGCAGGCGGCGCGTGCCCGCCCCCCCGCCCCCCCTCGCCCTGCGCCCTCGCGCCCTCGCGCCCTCGCGCCGGGGGCGGGCTTGCTGCGCGTGCCGGGCGGGGAAACGGCGCGAGCCGGGCGCCGGAGAACGTTCGTCGCGGGGGCGACTCCGGGGCCTGATCGAGCGCCGCCGCCACCTCAGCCGCCCGGGCCGGGCCGGAGGAGGCGGAGGAGGCTGAGGCCGCCCGAGACCTTCTCGACGTCCCGCAGCTCCGGCCGGGAAGTGAGTGTGGCGGGGGGTTTGCGGCGGCGGCCGCAGGCTGCGGGAGGGAGCGCGGTGCTGGAGCCTCGCGCCCGCGAGGAGCGGGAAGGAGCCCTCGCGGCGCCCGGCTTTCAGGAGGCTGCGGGGTGGGGGTGGGGGGTGCAGGGCCGGGAGCGGCGGGGACGGGGGCTCCGGGGCCGCTGCACCGCGCGCGCTGCGAGGGGAGACGGTGCCGCGCGCCCGGCCCTGGAGGGGCGAGCTGAGGGGATGGAGCGGAGCCCCGGGCCGGCGCTGCTGGGCTCCGAGCCCCGGGCCGGGGAGGGGTCTTCGGGATCCGGAGCTCACTGTGGCCGCCGGGCGCCGGGGCCGGGGTGCGGGCGTCGGGCTGATGCTCCCGGAGCCCGGCTCGCAGGGAGCAGGCTCTGCGTTAGGTGCAGTAAGGGGCGAAGGAGGCAGGTCCTGGCAGAGGGCAGGTGAGGCAGTTAGGCCCTGGCAGAGGGAAGGGGATTTATTTCGGATCTCTCCCAAACACTGTTCGCCAAGGCGCCTAACAGGGAACCTGTGCACCGAGGTCACCTTTGAAAGGAAGGTGTCCTGAGAGGAGGCGGCAGGATGCAGCTAACACAGGCTGGCTGGTAAATTCCTGTGCCAGGCCTCGGGATTAGGAAGACCTTTCAGCGTTCCTAGCAGACGTTTATTGATCAGCTACCTTGGGTAGAGAACCTTGGTCAGCACTGAGGCCACAAAATAGCGTAAAACCCAACCGTGATTTGCTATTGAGGTGCTGACGATTTGAAAGTATGCGAATAAAATACAAAGCAGCATTGAATTTCGTCTCCTACTTCATTCACTTTAGTTTTTTTTTTTTTTTTTGCGGGTTTGTGTGTGTGTGTGTGTGTGTGTTGTGTTGTGTGTGTATGTGTTTGTCTTTTCCCAGTGTTGAGAAATTGGAGCCATAAACGGCTTGGTTTGGGGATAAAGCAGAAAGAAGAGTCAGAGGAGCTTGTGGGAGAAATTTGGGAGAGTTTTGAAGGCAATTCTGCCTAACATTTAAAGGGGGAGAAGGGAAGAGCAAATTTGGAAAGAAATCAGAAGTTTCCTTCCTCTCCTACTGGAATGAAGCTCTGTGACTATCACTGCTGTATCCTCAATGGCAAGAACAGTGCCTGGCCCAAGGCAGTCAGGCAAAAAATACTGATTGCATGAATGAACGAACCAAGCAAGGTTTTGCTGTACTTTACACGGAGCACTATTAATTACTTTGGTGTTAGGGATGGCTGATGGACTTCCTCTGTTCCTGAAATATCTTTGGGGGGGGGGGTCATAAGGGGATCATGTAAGGTAACCCAGGTTCCTAGGTCTGGGTGTTTAAAGCAATGGCTAAGGTGATGGAGTCGTGATTTCTTGTGCCCACACTGCCACTTTCACATCTTTACTGCATGTTGGCCAAGAGGAGCTTAGCTTCAAATCATCCAATTCTGACCCTTCTATGACTTGAGGAAGAAGAAGAGTACTTTTGCCTAGGGAACACTCTTTTCCCCACTTTTATCCTGGTCCTTGGATCTTCCATCTGTAGGGAGAACATGTGTCTCTGCTCTTCTTGTAAAGGCTGCAATTCTACCTGAATTGAATAGAATAGAATTCTACCTGCAATTCTACCTGCAATTCTACCAATCTCTGCTGTGGCTGGATTTCTGGGCTCTCCAGCTCCTGGCTGCTGTTTCAGTGCCCCGGGTTGTAGTGCCTGTTGGGTTACTTTGTCTGCCAAATTAAAACTTGACCTTTTATGAGTTCTGTGAGGATTTTTATCATACATAAGTGGAATTACCTTTGAAGAAGGTTCTGTAGTCAAAGTTATGCCCGCAAGGTTTTTGAGTGTCCCCTATGCATGAGAGGCGAATTTTCTACTTAGAAAATTAGACTCAGAACCAATAGAATGCCAAGTTACCATTTACTCTATGTCTCTAATAGAAATCTTTCAGGACCTTTGTTTCTGTATATAAAAAACAAGAGTCATATTAATCCACATTTGGTCGTGTGCTGTAAGCTTTGAAGAACTAAGTTAATTTCTCTTCAGCTTTAGGACAGTGTACTTCAGAGTGCATCCAACAGGAGTCCATCGGTTCTTGTGGGGTGCCTTACTCCTGTAATTTTGGGTACCTTATTCCAGGTTCTCCCAATAATGCTGTATTTTATCTGTATATTTAATTTGTATTTCTTTTAAAATCAATTTTATCCATGTATAGTTGACATATAATCAAACGCACAAATGTCTGTGTACAGTTGGATGAATTTTGAAAAATGTATATACTTTGTAACCACCATCCAGTCAAGATATGGAAATTTACATTACCCCAGAAAATTCCCTCACGCTGGTTTACAGTCCACCCTGTCTCATTTTATTTACCTCTAATTACACAACCATCAGGGCTGTCGTGTCTCATTGTGCAGGATGGTTATTGCCCAGCTTTATGAGGTGCTGTTTATAGCTGAGTCCCTGCACATGGGACCTTCTGGGGCTGTCTTGTGTACAGTCTGTGTGGCCATGTCCTGCAGCTCTGCGAATGACTTATGAATGCACACTTTCCTAGAAAGTACTCAAGTAGTGCAGACAGAATAAATGCCCCCTTGGCCCTCTCCCTTTTCTGCTGAAATTGCTGTTATCAGTTGTGATCCTTCTAGACCTTTGCATTTTCACCTGTACACACACAATATAGGTAATACAGAAAAAAAGAAGTTTCCTTCTACTCCTAAGTTATTGACATGATACTGTTCACATTGTTCTGCAACTTTTTTTTCCTAGCAAAATGTCCAAGACCTTTCCATGTTGGAACATAGGGCTCTACCTGATTTTTCTTGACTACTGTATGTTCTCTTATGCGGTATCTGTGTTGTACTGTAGTTTATTTAATCATCTCCTCATTAAAGGCCACTTAAGCTCTTTGCTGTTTCAGACATTGCTGCAGTGAATGAAAGAAGTAGAACTGCTAGGTCAGAGCCAGGGGTTTGCACATTTTAAATTTTAATTGAGGGAGATTTAACTGTAGAATTTGTGGATCTGGTTCAGTTTCTTTTTTAACTACTAGGTAATGTTCAGTTGTAGACTTAAATCACCTTTTTCATTCTTTCTTCAATGAGGGGTGGACAGTTGGGTCACTTTGGATACTAAGTATTTGATGGATGGATAAATGTGTTGCAAATGCATCCTGCTAGTCTGAGGCTAGCCTTTCCCTTTTGTTAGCAGTGCCTTTGTATACAAGTTTAAAATTTTAATGTTACATTTATGAAAAAAATCTCCCTTAAATTAAAGAAATGAGTTTGTGCCTGGTCCAAGTAAATTTTCTCTACACCAAGGTATGAGTTATATACTTCTAAATTTTCTTCTAAAATTAAAAAAAAAAGTTTTGCTTCCCATGGGGAATTTCTGTGTGGTATAATGAAGGTGTGTATATATATATACACATATATATATACATATTTTTTTTCTTTCAATTGGGATAACCAGTTTTTCAGTACCTTTCCTCATTTTTTAAATTGTAAAACATACATGGCATGAAATTTACCATTTTAACCACTTGTAAGTGTAGTGGCTCTAAGTACATTCCCATTGTTGTGTAACCATCACCACTGTGCATTTCCAGAACTTTTTCATCTTCCCCACCTGAAACTCTGTACCCACTAAACACGAACTCCTCATTCTCCCCTTCTTCCGGCAACCACCATTCTACTCTCTGTCTCTGTGAATTTGACTACTCCAGGTACCTCATGTAAGTGGAATCCTATAATACTTGTCCTTTTGTGTCTGGCTTATTGCACTTAGCATAATGCCTTCAGAGTTCATTTATACCATAGCATGTGTCATGATTTTGTTCCTTTTTATTTTTAATTATTTTTTTCTAGAGAGAAAGAAAACACAGGCTGGGGAGAAGGGCAGAGGGAGGGAGAGAGAGAGAGAGAGAGAGGGAATCTTAAGCAGGCTCCACACTCAGCGTGGAGCCTGACTCGGGGCTCCATTCCCACCACCATGGTATCATGACCTGAGTCGAAATCAATGGCTGGACACTCAACCTACTGAGCCACCCAGGTGCCCCTGGATTTCTTTCTTTTTTAAGGCTAAATACTCTTCCATTGTGTATATGTACCACATTTATTTATTTTTCATCTTATCAGTGGACCCTTGGGTTGTTTCTACCTTTTGGCTATTGTGAATAACGCTGTTACAAACAGGGTGTGCAAATAAATATCTGTTCAAGTCCCTGTTTTCAATTCTTTTGTGTGTGTATCTAGAAGTGGAACTGTCCATGATATTTTTAAAAAGTTATATATGAAACTGAATATGACCAACGTGGGTAGATAGTACAGAGTGTATACTCCTTCTTCTCCACGGTTTCCCCTATTATAAACATCTTGTGTTAGTGTGGGATATTTGTTACAACTGATGAATCAATGCTGATACATTATTATTAATTTACGTTCATTGTAGTATATCTATATTGGGCCTCTCTTTGTGTCCTTTGTGTTTCGTGGATTTTGCAAATGCAAAATGTCATGCGTCATTAATGTCATTACATGACATTTCATGTGGTGTCATTGCAGAGTCATCAGAATAACTCCATTGCCCTAAAAATCCCCCGTGTTCTAACTATTCATTCCTCCCACCCTCCTCCCTCCTTCCTGATAACTACTGATTATTTTACTGTGTCTATAGTTTTGCCTTTTCCGGAATGCCATACAGTTGGAAGTCATACAGTATTGTAGTCTTTCAGACTGCCCTCTTTCACTTAGCAACATGCATTTAATGTTCCTCTATGTCTTTTCTTGGCTTGATAGCTCATTTCTTTTTATTGCTATATAATATTCCATTATAAGGAAGTACTAGTTTGTTTATCCATTCACCTATTAAAGGACATCTTGGTTACTTCCAGTTTGGGGCAATATTATGAATAAATGTCTATAAATATCTGTGTTTGGAGTTTTGCTTGTACGTAGATTTTCATCTCTTTCGAGTAAATATGTAGGAG